AAAATTTTTTCTCTCTTTTAAAGACATGGCAGCCGACAAATCTGGCAATCCCGATGACTGAAGGTGAAGACGACAAAGATATGGGACCTAAGACGATACCTACGATGGTTCCACCAACAAACATTCCACCTCTGATGCAGCCGCGCGATCAGAGGGATGGTAGAGACCGGGAACGAGACAGAGATAGGGATCGCGACCGGGAATTGGATTCCATGAGCAGAGATAGGGACAAGGATAGAGATCGCGATCGTGATAGAGAAAAGGATTCCATGATGAGGGATCGCGATAGAGACTCTATGACGCGAGATGAAGATCGAGAGCGTGATAGATCCAGGTCTCAATATCGACATAAAGATCGGTAAAAATCTAGTCTTCTTTTTTCCAAAATTTTATATCAGAGACACTAATATATTTTTTATATAATATAATATATGTTAATATATGTATCAATTTTGATACTTTTAGACATCGGCATCGATCAAGATCGCGATCTCGTAGACACAAATCAAGATCACGGAGTCCAACTCGGTCGCGTAAGAAGAAATCTAGACGCTCGGATAGAGAGCGTTCCAAGGAAGAAAGTGAATAAATGTGTGTACACATAAAACCTTTTATTGTATTAATTTACGGCGTCATAGTACATGAGGTGCATCATAGAATTAAGTGATCATTTTACATAAAATAAGGTTTTGACTGTTTCTAAATAAGAATACATTATTAGTACATTGCATCAGTAAAATTATTCGTAAAGCTAATTGTAAGATATACAAGTTAATTGTCAAATATAAAAAATGAAATATTTAGCTGTTCTTGCAGAAGTTACACAAATGATATAATTTTTGACACAAGTAAATTATTAATGCAAACAATAAAAGTTGGATTTATAGATTGATTGAAGATTGTTTTATCATGTTTAAGGGTCTGAGCACAAAATTGTCGTAACACTTGCTTAGACTTAAGTTGTAGACGTAAGTAACGCACAAGCTTTTACATACAACTTATTACAGTGTCTGCAAGAGAGACATATCATATATCATACGCCAAAGCAGTGCATTACTTACATCTACAACTTAAGTCTCTAAGTAAGTGTTACGACAATTCTTGTGTTCAGATCCTAAAATCTTTTATGTCTGTTGTACAATAGGGTCGCAAGTAGTAAGCCATAAGAAATTGGCCAGTCACAGTTAAGCGTGAGAAGAATAATCGACTATGATTAATTTCTTACGATTTATTGATTAATGACTTACGACTCTATTGTAGAACAGGCCTTAAGCTGACACATTAGTCGTATCGCAGTATCGCAAGCGTTGCAATATAAATCAACATCAAGCTAACTTAGTTCTAATTGGACCACAATGTTTACGACGCTGTGACATGACTAGTGTAGAACCAGATTTAGAAGTTAGAAAAATATTTTTCATTTTTTCATTATCTCTTTGCACACTATTTTCTGTGCAAGTGTGATTAGGAAAGAAATACAAGTGTTATAAAGCTACATTTTCGAAAAATTTTTATATTTTATCAACAAGTCTGTTTTTTATTACTTTTGAATCGATGCAATAAGTTGAAGTGAAACAAACGTATATTGTGTTTCACTTATTGCACTGTGTACTAGTTCAGAAAGTGCAGCAATAAAAAAACAGACCTAATGCAAAAAATTATTGGCAAAAACGACGAATAAATTCGATTTTATTCGAAGCACTCGAAATATGCCTATTGCATAGGCTCTTCCAAAATTTACTGCCAGTAAAAATCTATAATTTACTTTACATGCACTATAGATTTTCAGTACTGGCAGTTAATTTTGGAACACAGCCATACTGGATACGATGAGCGATGAGCGATATCCAATGAGAGCTCTGTTTTATATTGTCATGTAAGAAAAAACAAAAGTTTCATTGGATAACGCTAATCGTTTATCACGTCCGGTGTGCAGTAGGCATAAATTTGGTAAAAGCGTCTGCTAATGCTTGCGCATACGCGAGGTCTGTCCAATTGTTAGCGTTCATCCATTTAGCGAAACGAAACGCAAAAGAACGATACGAACTTGGTTGAATTTACCTCAATTCACTCAAAGAGTATAATTGGTATGTTATTTTCCATAATAATTATACGTGATTTAATCGTACCATAATTTAACAAACATGCTAAGAAAGTTTTTATAATAGTAGTTTAAATTTGAAAGTGATAGATGTTCCAAAAATATATACTACTCAAAATACAATGACTGGAAAGTATAGGTTATATTTCTGCATATGAATATATAACGGTCATGAAATAATAACTTACCATTTCGAAATCTATAAAACATTTTGATAAAGGAGATGATTTAATATCATTGTATAATATCATTGTATAAGATACGTTGCAAATGAAAATTATTAGCAAAGTTCATTACATTGATGGTTCATTTAATAATCTCTTTCAAAAGTGATTGAATTTTTTTAAGGATAGGTTTGTTACGTTTTGAAGTTGAAGATGCCAAAGTCAAAAGAATATGTCTCTGACAGTGATGATAGCAGTGAAGAGGTATTATTTTATTAATTGTTCAGCTTAGCCCTGCTCAATTCATTGAATCTATAATTTCATTAAGATTGAAAATGAGCTAAATTAAATAATTACCTTATATTCATATATTTTTATCTATTTTGTAAATATTTCATATTTATTATTTTCTATTTATAATAAGTAAAATCAAAGAAGCAAAAAAGGGAAAGAGAGGATGATAACAAAGCAACGAAAGATGAGAAGAAATCGGCAAAGAAGGCTAGAACTGATGATGAAACTGTTTGGGATTTGGGCAACAATCGTCAAGTAAATGTAAGAAATTTCAAAGGCAAATATTATGTTGACATTCGGGAGATGTATTATGACAAGGAAGGTGATTTAAAACCTGGAAAAAAAGGTAATATTTTTATAAAAATTTTTTTAATAAACTTTACAGCTGATAATTTATAATCAACAAAAAATATAAAAAGATTTATTAAAACTTTCAGTAAAATATATTCGATAATATTTTAATATCTTTATAGGAATATGTTTATCCATGCAACAATGGCGAAAGTTCATGAATGTTGTGAAAGAAGTGGATGAAGTGGCTAAATCGAAGAGTTAAAACTTTAATTCTAATGAATTTCTAATGAATTCTAATGAATTCTAATGAATTAAAGAATGTGTTTTCTTATATTCACAATTTTTTTCAACGTTAAGATTTTGAAAATGTGTAACTACTATATACTTTTTTTTATATTGGATTAAAAATATTTCTGTGAAGATTACATAAAATGTAAAAGTATATTATTTGGAAATGTCTCTATATAATAACATTATATTTATCGTTTATTTATAATAGAAAAATAAAATATTTTATTTGATATTTATCGAAGAAAACTAATATTCTGAAAATTAATTTAATTTGTTAAAAAATTTTGTAAACTTTTCCAAGTCATAAATTATAATATATTATATAATATCATATGTTATTATGTTCCCATTTTTGTAGCTATGAAATGTCTACATTGTACTATAAAAATATAATAGTGCCAAGTATCAAGATGTTTGTTAAAAAATCATTTCTTTTTAAATTGTTCCTATGTGAAACAAATTCATTTAATTGTCAGTTATGGATACAGTCTAGTAAATTCTGTGTTATATATTCCTCATAATTATGCACGCACGCGCACACACACACACGCGCGCGCGCGCGCGCGAATGGGTTAAGGCTGTATAATATGTAGCAAGTTCTCTTCTTGGCTGTGAATGCTGAAGTGTAATAAATTTTATTCTATTACGTATACAAATACAGGGTGCCTGCAAGTTAAAACTGTTACAGCGACTTCTGCATATAAAAAAAAATCAAAAGTCTAATAAATATATGTCCGATTTCAAACGGAGCATTGATGGAAACATGAGTCAAAATAAATATGATGTCCTTTATTCTCTGTTCTAAATCCTGGAATCTTATTCCGATAGAGAATCCAGATCTTTCATTCGTCCACCAAATATATGTTAATAATGTCGCTGTCAATTGCCGACCCTGTCATCCACTGTCTCTTGTGAAAAAAGTGAGTCTACAACTTACCTAGTTACAATTTGATGAATAAAAGTTCTAAAGAAAGAGAAAAAAGAGAGAATAAGAAAAACGAGATTTCAAAATTCAGGACAATTATTTAGGACAGCAACTGATACTTAATGCTGCCAATATCACATCCGAATAATTTTCCAAATAATTTTCCAAAGTCCAAAACAATTTATTAATTTTTTTAATTAATAATTTTAAAAATGTGTCAAAATCGACGGAGAAATTTTTGAGCACCTTTTGTAAAGCATTAAATAAAATGAACATTAAAAACATTTACTGTGATTCATGTTTCGTTACTTCAATATTCCTTGATTCCGAAATCATTCAGAATCGGATATATATTTATTATATTTTCAACTTATATATATATATGTTTTCATGTACTGAAGCCACTATAATAATTTGGTATTGTATGCAGAGACTTCCTATATATAATTTGTTATTTTCACACAATTAAAAATTAAAAAATTAATCTTAAAATATTTTGTCTTAAATTAAAAGATAATAAATATTTATTCACAACAAAGTCGATATTTAAAAAATATTTGGCTAAAAAAATGATAATCATATAGAAATGAACTTTGAAGAGATATGTATATAAATGTTAAATAATCTAGATTATCAAATAGTAAAATACTCTATCTTCACTTTCAATACTCTAATACTATATATAATTATATAAAAATAGAAAAAACAATATTTACATTTTTATACATATATACAATAAAGAGAGCATTTATTCAGGTCCATGAACTGTAGATAGGAATTTATTCAGGTCCATTTCGTCTAAGTTACTAAGTAATGCTTGAGGATCAGTCGGGCATTTTTTCTCAATCTAGATAAAGAATTAGAAAAACAATTATATAGTATTATTAGAGATAACGTAAATATATTAATATAAATATGAATTATTTAATTACCTGTTTCGTTTCTTTTACTTCTGACAATTTTCTTTTTCGGCTTTTGGTAGTGATATCTGGAACTAAAATATTTTATATAATATCTTTTACAATGAAAAACAAGTTTTATCAAAAATAAAATATCTTTACAATCTTACCTTTTTCCTGCTTGTCCAATTTTTGCTTTTTCTTTGTATCAGATTGCTTATTGTTATTAGTTTTGTTTGTCGCAGCAGTTTTAATCGTCTTTTTCATTTTAGCTTTTGATGATTCATCTACAGGAGATGACGAAGCCAAAGGTTTTGTGATATCATCTTTTAGATTAAGCATGTCCTTATCCGTCTTAGGTGTTTCGCAAATTTTTTCATTTTTGGTGCGAGATTTTTTATTCACTGTTCGTTTCTTAGGCGGAAGATTAAGTATTTCTTCGAATTCGGTAGCTTTCATTATCTTGATGCACTCAATGGGATTCGGATCCGAAAGATCTGCATAATTGATTTCGATCTGTAATTCATGTGCGCTATACCTCCTTCTTCTTTTTTTCATCGGTACACTATCGTCATATACAAAGTGATATTCTGTTTTATTATTATGAATATCGACTGTTTGATGCAACTCATTATCACTTTCGTTTTCAGATTCACTCTGTTCTTTATGTTGCTGTTCAGTTTGACTTTTATTATTGTGCAAATGCTCCTTTTTAGACGCTGGCACTAATTGCAAACATTGAAGAACGGTCGACAATTCCTGCTTAGGATTTTCGACGTTGGCGATTTTCTTTTTGTCCGAAGCTTCAACAAGATTAGAATTTTGAATTTCTGTATCGATTGTCTCGGTTTCGTCTTTTGCCGAAGATGTTTTGTTATCATTTTCTTCGTCACTAAATAGGTCACGCTTTATTTGATCCACCTTATATCTTAATATTTTATAATCAGATTTATCATTTAAAAACTGTTTCGGTTTATTTTTTTTATCTTCTGTTTGATCATGTTTTATTTTAGCCAGAACTGATATTTCTTGTTTAACAATATATTTCTCCGAATTTTCGTTTTTCAAAATTTGTTCTTGTATATCAATATTTTTTTGTCTTATTCCATCTTTGTCGATATTACTTTCAATATTGCAATATTTCTCTATACTCTCCTTAGTATCTATCCTCTTTTTTAGATAATCTTGATTTTCTGATAAAGAATTATGCAATTCCGTGGATTCATTTTTTTTACAATTTTCGACTTCATTATTTTCACAAATATCATTTACGAATTGTTTTGTCGTATGATTATCAAGCGGCTTGCTACCATTATTTTTGTAATTCGTTAAGTTAGAATCTATATTTTTCGATGCAGCAACTTGATTCATCGTTTTTTCTTTGTTGTCACAGCGCTTATTCACGAGATTTGGTTTTTCTGGCTCATGTTGTCTTTGCATATTTTTTCTGGAGCTTTCCTGTCGATTATCTTGCAGTTCCATATTCTTATTAACATTTCTGGAATATTTTACCGTATTTGGACGTATATTTCGGTTTCCTCTACCAAATTTCTTTAGAGTTTCTGAAGCTTTGCTTGTTAAAATGCGTTTACGATTTGTTCCACAAGGATTCAATTTTGAGTTATCTTTGATCTTAGCCATGATGCGTTGTCGTTTTTCTTCTAATAGCTGCCTTTGCATAAGTTTATTGTTCACAGACGTGCTTTGCTTGCCTTCGGATTGACATTCATCTTCAATCGGTTTCCGCAACTGGATCAATCCTGGCTGAATACACTGTATATCTATTATCTTTGGCAATGGTCTCGATTTGTTGATTTGTATTTTACTGTTATTCTTTGGCGGCTTATTTGATTTTGATAATTTTTCGTCTTTCGTCATAATTGCCGATATTTTTGTTGTCAAGTTAATCATTTCTACTCCGCTTTTTGAGCTGCTGGGTGTTTCCGAAATATCGGCCTCATTTAATAAAGTCTCATCTTTAGCTGGGGTTTCTTTTTGAGTATTCTTTAGCTGATCATCAGTTTTCGTGATTGCGAATATTTTCTTTGGCGAAGATTCCGTTTCAATCGTATTATCTGATTTTTTACGTGCATTTTGTATATTCGTTGCATCATTTATATTTTTCGATGCATTAATGTTTTTTTCTGCGAAATCGCTACTGATGTCTGTGCTCGTTTTACTTGGGGCTTTGTCGCATTTCTCGTTTAGCGAACATGTATTTATCGATGTATTTGAACTGCTGGATGTAGATGACGAGGATGACGATGATGACGATGATGTGTCAGATGACGAGCTACTCTCAGAATCATTGTGAGAATCATTGACATCGGTTATTATTTCCTGATGCTCACTTATACCTTTAAATTCATTTATCTGTATCAGATCTACGTGGCGATCTGTTACAATGGAAGCGTTGAATTCTGCGCTTCCTGAATCTTTGGAAGAAGATGCAATTTTGAACTCTTTGATAGCTTCTTCTTTCGGTAAATTCTCCTTGATTACTTCGAATTCCGTTATCTCTAATTTAGAAGAACATGTCTGATAAGTATTACCAGATGTGAGACTATTATGCACCGAATGTAATTGTATGTGTGATGAAGATATAATGGGTGATTCTTGTGTACTATTGTTTTTAGGCTTATTGTTAGATACCTTCAGATCAGATTCTTGAGCTTGTTCAGAGGTAGGTTTGTAGTATGAGGAATTGTACTCGCCTCTTTTTATAACATCTCTAGTTATCTCCTCTTTCGGAGTTATAGCTATGCCCGGGGTTATCGGGAATTCTGGGGTAGGAATAAAACTACGTATTTTAGAGGAATCCTCGCTGATCTTGATAAACGGAGTAATTAGATTACTAGAGGGACTTAGTACTCTTGGCGTTGGTGGAGGACCGGATGTGTTGTCGAATTTTCTAGGTGTCTCCAAGTTTATCATATCTGGCATTCGCAAGACATGCTGTGTACTGTCCACGGATAAAATTCTCGAAACTTCAGACACTTGCAAATTGATTTGTGCTACTTCCATGTTTTTTGCTTTTTCGTTATCAAATTTCCTTAAATTAGTCGAAATTGTTTTAAGTTGCGCGTATTTTTTTACAGGTTTTTTTTCGGATACTGCTGCATCGTTGCTGGATGCGTTTGTACTATTTGTTTTTGCCGACGTCTCACAGGTAATAGTTGAAATCTTATCGGATTTGTTCGTTGTGAAACTTACAGTATTAACAGTAGCTTTTTTTTTATTTTCATTTTCATTATTTTGCGGTTCTATTATTTTGATGTTTTCTTGAGAATTTTCTTCCAGTTCATCGATGTCTTCTATATCATGCTTAAACTTCTTATTCACTTTTGATTTACTGCTAGTTTTTCTTTCGTCATTGCTCTTTGATCGAGAACTGTATTTAGCTTTCTTACGTATCTCATTATCTTTGATAAAATTTTTTTTCCTCTTTGCAGACTTCTTGGTATCCGACTCATCTTTCTCGTCTCTCTTATTCGCTTCTATATTCTTACGTAAATCAGCATCCCAACTTCCTGCTAAGGACTTAGACGGCTTGTGTTGAACGATCCTATCCTCCGAGGAAG